AGTTCCTCATCAAAACTTGGAAATAAGTAGATAATCGCAAGTGATTAAAACACTTCTATTTCATTGTTTTAATTTTTATATAAAATGACAACATGCTAAATATTTGTCTAAAAGATAGTTTTCAATACTCAGATCACGGATACTGAAGATTATCTGTTACATTTACACGACCATGATAATGCACATACAGAATGAGGAAATCCTGAATTCTTATGCCAAATTTTATCGTGAGTGAGCTCTATTTGCCTGGTTTTACTTATCAAAGTAAACTATGCGCTCATTATAAGTGTTTACTTTGTTGGTTTTTTTTTTTTAAGGAAGTAGTTTTATACAATTATCCAAATTTTAATTTAATTTGTATACTAAATGCAATTAGGAAAGGGATACTGCCTGGAAAAAAAAATGCATTTCTGCATTTTCACAAATCATTCTGTCTAGGGATAACAGGATAATCTAGGATGATTGATTCTGAATATCCAGTCCTACAATATTTATCAGTTTTTGTTTTGTCTCTCTCGCTCTCACACACACACACCCACAGATTGATAGACATCAAATTAGTTTGTACAGACTTTAGAGCAGAAAAACATTAGAAATATTTCACAAAACTTACACTTGATCTGATCACTTGATTTAAGGCAAAATCCCAACCTAAACATTGGTCCTTCTATTGCCTCTTTTTAGTACCACCCCCTCCGGATTTGGTACATTTTCTTCTTCTTCTCATTTCTATAGACATTTTTAAAATAATATGAGTAAGGACATCATCTAAAACAAAGAATACCTAAGTAACTGTACATGTAAATTCCTGACTTTTACATTCTCTGTACTGTAGATTCTTGATTTTTATGTTGACTGTTGCTGAGGGTATTTATTGTACTTCATGATTGACAGAGAGGTCATTTCACATGCATCATAAATATTTAATCCTTTAATCCAAAAATAGTCAGATCAAGTAATGTTTATTTTGCAAAATGTGATCAAAGGTATGGGAAGAGAACTTCCTATTATATTTATGCTAAATTATATTTATAATAGATTGGAGTAATGTGTGTTATTTCATTAAACTTTCTTTTAAGAATCATTTTTAAATAATTAAAATAAATGCAGTAGCTTTTTATTTGATCATTATTTTATATATTATATAGTCATTATTAGCTATATTTATAAACCTATCATGATTCAGTATCTTTCATTTTAAGGACATCATTTTATATTTACAACAAATTTAAAGACAATATGTCTTTATTTGAAGTAGAATAAGTACATATCTGTATCATATGCACATATATGCATATATGTAGATATGTATGTATACCCTAACTCATAATACCATTAAAATTGTCCCTTAGAGGGCCCTCCCTGGTGGTGCAGCAGGCTAAAGCACAGCATGGAGAATCTAAATCCACCTCCGCATGAGTTCGATTCCCGCCTGCCCCGGAGGTGACCACATGGCGTGGCAGACCTCCCCTGACCCGCCCGCTGCTCCCCTCAGCAGTGTACTTCGTCGATCTGCCTGTTCTGTTCCCCCCTCTGTCTCTGGTGAAGCCTCTCACCACCCCTGAGCCTCTGGCCTGTACCCCAGTTCTGTATGCACAAATAAATCTTTAAAAAAAAAAATTGTCCCTTAGACAATTTTTGCATACTGACGCTTGCTCTTTTAGTCTCATACCAGCATTTTGATAACGGTTTAGTTAACCCTGTGCTAGAACAGATACAATGAACCCTCAGAAAATTTAGGTAACTGGCCTAACAGCACATGGCTGCTGAGCAGCCATACCACAGAAATTTGGAATTTTGTTTCTGGTAACCATTTAGCTATCTCATCACATTTGTTATCTTTGGTTTTAACATAATGAGAAAAGTAATACTCTTAGCCTATGCTCAGAAATTAAAGAGAGTTATCTAGAATACACATAGTGACAACATGATGTTACTGACTTCTGTCATGGCAGTACAGTTTTTAATGACATGGGTTTATGAAATATTTAAAATTAAAAAGTAGGCACAAAGGAGGTTCTATGATATGTGGTTTTAAAAATCAGAATTCTTCTTTCATTGAGATAAAAATTTTCTTTAAGATCCATTAAAAATATACTTAATAAAAACAGTACTGGAACAAAAGCATGAGGTGCTTAAATGCTTAAATGACAGCACTGGGCAAATAGCTGCCATCTCTGGTAGAGGAAGAAGAACAATCAGGCACATGTGCTAATGAGGCATTAGTGCTGATGGCTTCTAGGAAACCACAGCTGGAGAGCAGCCCTCCTACAATGTTGCATGAGGAGTTGAACTGACTAATGAACTACTCAAAGGCTGATGACAAGCTGCCAGTGTCTGTAAACACCAGTCACACAGTGATGTGTGAACAGTGTATAGAAAATTCCTAATCCCACAGGGAGGGTTTGTGTGTGTGTGTGTATGTGTGAGAGAGAGAAATGAGAGACAAAAACACATACTTTCCTAGCACATACTAATATTTTCCATAGTACAATAATATGAGCATAAAGAATTCATATAGTTGGTGTGATAGTAGCATGTTATCTTTGTATTGAAGTGTATGTTTTAAAAAGTAAAAGAAGTCCTAAAATTCTGCCAACCAGATAAAAAGGATCTGGTTTGTGTTGGGTAATGTATAACCATGACATTCTCTAGCAATGTTTTATGCTATTCCCATGGAGTTCTTCAGGACCTAAATCTCTGTCTCTCTCAAATCATCTTCTGGAGGTGGTTGAAGTCTGAGAACAGAGGTTGGCACTAGAACTTTTTAAAGAAAATAGTAAGAAAGCAGACGATGACAACAACAACAACAACAAAAATAAAAACAGATTTTTGCTTGTAAATTCATTATTTAGCACATGTATTATGGAAGAAAGAGCCTGACTTGAACTTGAATCTGGGTTAACCTAGGACAGAGGCAGACAATCATTAGAAACAAAGAACAGAGTCATAGAATCTGCAGCTTCCTTTCCAATACACTACAATGTTAACTGCCAGAGCAAAAGTCCATCTACTGAGTGAAAGCGTTGGTGAAATACATTATGAAATAGACTTAATTCCATGTTCCATTAAGGTTAAGTTAAAAAGTTGAAAAAGGTCTGCAACTGTGCTTGATTTCTAGACCTAAATGTTTTCCCCCAAACAAGCTAAAAAAAGTCACTCCCTCTTTTGAATACTTTAGGAACTAGGAGGTTTTATAGTTTTGCAGGGTAAGCTAGATGGAAGGTTTTAGGCTATGAAGTCTTCCTTATTAGGTGACCACACTGGTAGTAAAGAAAGCTGAAAACAGTTATTTTTAGTCCTTGAAACTCTAGGTCAGTGAAGAAAATTCTAGCCAGTGTATCTAGATCAGGGAAAAAGTTTTGGATAATGCATTTCAAAAGCCGATACAAAGATTAAGGTAAGAATACTGCAAAGGGACAAAAAGGTAGGGGTTGGGGTGAGGTATGAGAACAGCAGGGGTGTCAGGGAAGGATATTTTGCACTTAACTCTTTGGGTTGTTGGGGAAATGCAGGAAAGAAATGTACACAACCACCACAATTAGTATCCCTCTGCTTTGTTTATATACCAGTAGCTCCTCTTCTCTTCCCAGTGACAGCACCCACTCCATGACCCCTCCAGATCATATTTATTTTTAATCCTGCAGTTTAGAATGTTGGGGAAAGCTGAGAGAGAAAGAAAGAGAACCCAATTAGATGGGGCGGCTAAAGATTTTGTAGACTCTACGTCTTTCAAACTATCATGCCCAATGTGGTAGTGCCCACACAAACTCACGTAGTCTTCTTTCATGCCTACTGTACATTTTTAAAAGATAAAGAAAGATCAGAAGAAATAAAATGAGGTCATAAAGCACCATACCAGATATCATTGCCTCAGGGGTGTCATCCTTAAACCTGTCCTCATTCGTTGTCCGCCTCCCCCCTTCTGAAACAGAATAAGAATTTCCTCTCCAAGTTTCTATAGTATCTTCATAATAGCTCTCTTGTAGTGCTTATCACACTGTATTTTATCATTTCCTTATATAATTCTTTCCAATCTTTTCTGGTGTCTGCTTACGGCCAGGAAATCTATGTGATATCTTTTGCCTGTGAAAAAGAAGGGTTTAAAATGTTGTGAGTGTCTTTGGAACATCTCATACAGGATAAACTACAGAAAGTATGTTACTGACTGAAAACTCATTGTAAGATAATTACTCACCTTATTACATTTTATGTGCTTACATCTATAATTGTGAGCCTCTTTTTAATTACAGAAGTTGTTAGTAGCTAGAGGGCTGAAGGCAGTTTTCAGTCATAACCATGCCATTCAAAGGTCACAATCAAGAGTTTAATCTGTGGAAGAGTGAGCTGGTCACTTTAAAGTGATCCAATCAGAAGTGAAATTGGGTTAACTAAAACCATTAATTTTAACTTCATTAATTCTAAAATCTGGAGTCATGTCATATATTAATTACAATTCTGATTTCTTTCAAGACAAAATAATCAATATTAACACAATATTCTTAGTAACAATGAGTTCCCAAGTTACTCTATATGTCAATCAATGTCATTTTCCAGCAACTTCTTTCACTATCATTCAACATGCATTTCCATGTTAGCATTGAGATCTTTAGCAATAATTATTTTTACTGGAAAATCTATAGCTCCAAAAATACCCCCATGGTTCAGGTAATATGAAATATAGTGGAACTTAAGCACACACATATTTGGAGGATCCTCTACTTCTGCACTAGAACTCAAGCCAACCTCCAAAACCTAATGAAAATCAGATTTTAATTCACTGTTCTTTCCCCAAAATGTATAAAGCCAAATAGTAACTGTTTGGGAATGCTTTATCTATTAATTACAGATAGAGCAGGTTAATTCTTCCCAAAGAAATTACAAATTTCTTAAAACTCTTGACCTACTTATTTCAGTTTTAGAACACATTTTGGTAAGATCTTAATAAACATCCCAATATGAGACTAAACCATAGTGCTGCATTTTATCTCCCACTGCAGAAGACAATAGATGTGCATCCTCCAACGCTGCGTCCTGTGCCAAGTGCCTTGCTCTGGGTCCAGAATGTGGATGGTGTGCCCAAGAGGTATGCCTTTCCCTTTTCAAATTGCTTTTGCACTTCTTACTTTTCCTCAAAGTTCACCGTCTCTAGCATGACTTCATTGCCCTAATATTCTGTGCCTTGTAGGTACATCAGGAAAAACAAAGATACTGCTGAACATCAGGAAAATTTTCTTTGGTTTTATGCTTGGAAACAGCATATCTGGCTAAATATAAAATGAAGTATAACATTATAGTAGGAAAATTATGGTAATTTTGAAATGAAGTGCAAACCATTTTATGTTTTCCATCTGTTCTATACAGAGAATTGGCAAAACACAGTAACTCTTGATAGGTCAGTAGGCTTTGGTGTGAAATTCTTGCTGCAGCTTGGGGTGTTAGGTTATATATCCAAGTTGGATCACTGTCTTGTACTTGCTTATTAAAGAAAAGCAAACTAATTTATTAGCCTTATTTTTCACTTATTTTTATTTCATAATGTTGTATATCAATTCCCTGGTTGCTTATAAAAAATGGGATGCTTTTCTTTTGACATGTGACCCTGTTCATGAGATATGGTGTACATTTAAATTCTGTGGAATGGAGATTAATTCAGAAAAAATGTTTATTATTCAAAAATAGTGTTTTTGTACCCTACCAGGAGTAACATCTTAGTAAAATTATTATAATGTATTCCTTCCTGGCTCCAAAGTTGTATTTTGAGGTTCTTTTGTTGATTATCTTCAGTTAAAAGTACATGTTTATAATAAGTTATAGTGAAGAAACCATCTGCTAATTTGGTTTTAATAAAATGGCCTAGGTAATTTTATATTTATTTATGTACCTCCTGGGAATTGGAGCAAATAGTTTTTTTTTTGTTGGTCTCTGCTCAACATAAAAAGAAATGTAGCTTTTGCCAGAATACAAGGAACCAGAAAATGACATAGGACAATTTCAGTTTTTCAGATCAATCCTATCACTTCCTGTGAGCCAAAAGACCAGCAGGAATTCACTCTACTCTGTATCTCCTTTCTTTATCCCTGCAAATTTAACTTTTGAGTTTACTTTTATGTTTTTCTCTGTCAGGGATGTGTCCTGGCTTGATATTTCCAGGCCCTAAACAAATACTCCATTTTAGATTTACACTACCTATCTGAGGAAGATCCTTAAAGTCAGGATATTTAAGCCAACTTGATATTAGGTGCTGACAACATTTTGAGCATAGTTTAGACAAATTTCAAAAGATGGCAAGGAAACACTGTTGTCAGTCAAAACAACATAGTGATAGAGACTGTCAAGTTCCAGAGAGATTCCTCCATTTTGTATTTCACTGGCTTTAAAAATCTGGAGAATCACAGCTATGGGAGGAACAATGTCAGTACTACCATGGAAGGAGGGTTTTTGATTATTCAGAGGACTAGGAGGCCAAAATGGCAGTAGATAAGCCAAGGGGGAAGGGAGAAATGGCTGCCCAGAAGAGGAGGCAAACTTGTGTCTGCTGCTGGTCAAATCCTTCAGAAGGGGATCTTGGAAAACTTTCAGAAATCATTTGGCTGTTCAGGTCCCCAAATATTCTGTGCAATAATGAATCATCTAATTTATGTATTAAAAAAGGAGACTGAGGTGTGATCAACTTGGATTGAAACCCAAGTTCCATCAGTTTCTACCTATATAGACTTGGACACATTAACCTAAATACTCTGAATCTCAGTTTTCCCTAGTTCTGAAGTGGAAATAATAATTGTATCTCTGACACATTATTGTGAAGATTAAATGAAGCAGTATGTGAGAAGCATGTGGAACACAGGCATTGCTTAAGAAGTGGGAGTTGTTACTTTAAGAACTTGGGTAAGACTCCAGATCATCTCATTCAGGCTCAGGAAATGAAGGGGATTGCCTGAATTAAGAACACAACCTAGGGAAACCCAACCAGTATAGGGGCCCAGGTATTGTCAAGTCATTAAAAGGAGCTGTCCACTCCTTAAAGGCTGACTTGATATCTTCAAGGGAAAGACTATAATGTTAAATTTTGACAGAGTGCCACCATTAGGCAAGCATGCAACTGATGTCTTTTATTTCTCAATAGCAAGGGTGAAGGGATAGGGAAAGAAAGGGTAGTTTATCTGTTCATGATTACAAGAGATAAACAGTAACAAATTAAGCCTGGTTTATATAATTTTCAAAGCTGGTCAAAAGTAAAAGACCACTAGAAAATTTAAACAGGATTTACTTAATTTGCTTGCATTCTTTGCATAGTGAATTAATCTGTCCTTCTATATATTTTGCTTCCTTTCCCGTCATACTACACACAAGTAATTATTCCAATAGACAGAATCTTTTCATTATTGCCTACTGTGATGGCAATAATGTTCCTTTAAACATGTGAAAGATTTGCCATGTTTGAAAGATTTCTCTTCATCTCCTGCCTACTTTGGTGGATACAAGATGTGATTGCATAGCAAACAGTTTAGAGAACAACCTTGGACCACATTTATATTGAAATACTATGTGAAGGGCATTCACTATCAAAGGTGAAAAAAATGTTTCATTTCTGTGCAGACTGATAGTCAGGAAAATTCAGAAATGATTACTAAACTTTCTTAAAATATATATCCCCAGATAATTGTATTAAATGGGTGAAAGTAAAAGCTGATGAAAAGACAACCAGGATAGTTTCAACACAGGCTTTCATTCTCAGATAGGCTTCCTTGTTTCATTCCTTCCTTCCTTCCTTTTCATTGAGGTAACACTGGTTTACCTTGTTGTTTGTATTTAGGAGGATGGGCTTTCCCTCCACTTCATATATTATTACCATAGTGCACCCACCACTGAAGCACCATCACCCACCACCTAAATCCACTATGCTCCCTCCCAACTTTATTCTCACTCCTTTCTTACTCTTCCCCCTCTGGATTCCTGGATTCTATAATCAGTTTTCAGTGGTTAAAATTTGCTTTATCTGTCCTTTTGTTTAGTTTCTATGTACTGTCACATGCCACCATCTGGTATTTGTTTCTTTCCTTTGCCTTTCAAACAGGTTTAGATGTAGATAGTTAAAGACTGATTTTTCTCATGTATTTCTTCTAGAGTAAGTGAAACAAAAGAATTAGAAGAAATTACAATGACACTACTAAAATCAAAAATTAAAAGGGTGTGGTTTCAAATTCTTTCCTTTTCTACAAAATGGAAAGTAGGCCACAGAGGGTAGGGGCAGCATTCCATTCTTTATTTTGATGCCACGGTCTTTTGCTTCTCTTTAAACCTAATTGTCAAATTGGCGGTGTTTTTATAACTTGGTTTTACACTGGAGTAAAAACAGTCATGCTGATTCAGACATTGCAAAATAATTGAGACAGATGCTTATTTCAGCAAAAAGAAGACTTGACATTTAAAGGTCAAATGGCATGGCTTGATGTATAGTTGAAGTGATTTAACCACACTCCCTTCTGTACATACAAATAACAAAATCCCAAACAGAAAGAGAAAAATCAGAGATTGTAATTTATTTGCTCTCCTGATGTGGCATTCCGGGGCGCTTACATCTGTAAAATGAATGTAGCCCCTCATCTGCTGCTGACCATGTAAAGCTCCAGGTGGGACAACTTCACCTAGACTGAGGCTTTCTGAAGTAAAGCAACACATGCAATAGTTGTCTGTCTTTTTCTCTGAGGAACCTTAAGTCATTTATAAATTATATCTTATGTTTAATATCTCCAAATTTTATCAATAAATACACCTGGATACAAGAAATTAAGGCTCTGAACATTTCAAAAGTTCAGGCTAAAATCTAGATATATGGTCAATATCAAATTAATCTCAGTTTTTTTCTTCTCATGAAGTGATTTATCCAAACACACCTGAAATTGCTGATTGGAAAGGACATGTTATTTTTTAAATTATAGTTATATTACAAGTGGGGTCCACATTCTAATTCAGGGTCAGTACTGTAAAGAATTATACAGTATGATTTTAAGCTTTATAAGCCACACACTGTCACTATCATACATTCTCCTTCTGTACTGTTTTATAATCCTTTAAAATGTACAAAGTATTTTTAAAACTCAAGCCAACAAAAACAGACCATGGGCTGGCTGCATGTGTCTCATGGTCCCTTGCTCCTCAATCCCTATTCTAAAGAGAAAGTGGAATTAAGTGCAAATGCTTGTTTGAATGCTTTCTTATGGCCTACCACTAGCCATCTAATTACTCACAGCATCAGTGGAAATGGCCCTACTTGTAATCACTGACCTCATATCCAATTAACATGAGACTGATAATCTCCAGTCATCATAAGCTAATGGCATTCTGTGCTTCTCCTAAGTCTAATGCCAATCCCCCAAACCTAATGAAACTCACATTTTAATTCACCACCCTTTAGTTACAATTATTAATGACTAACTGAACTCACCAATGATCTGTTGACTTTATGATGGTAGGGACTCTGTCTCATTACATTCTATATCCTCAGCACCTAACAAAATATTGTCCCACAGTCTTTAATCAACATTCTTTTACTGATTAATTGATTATAAATGCAATTCTTTGAATCAGCTGAACTAAAGGAATTATTACTGAATACCATATCAAAATAGCCACGTCCAGGATGATCAGTGAGCAAATATCCAGCTAATATGAAAACAAATATCCCAAATAACTCAGGCCAACACTGTATGTAACAAAACATATTTCTATACATTTTAATGTATTTCCTCATCTTAGGGAAAACAAACAAACAAAAATCCTGAATGGTTACAATGAAAGCTAAAAAAAAAAACAAAAACACAGTATTTTTCAGTTGTAAATTAAACTTATGCTTGCTCCACTAATTCTAAGTTTACTGGACAACCATCAACTAGCCATTGCTTAGTGATAAATTTTTAGATTTAGATTCAATTATAAAATCAGGAGAATTTGAGCTGCAATAGTAAATCTCTTAACCTCATTATGAGCAGCTTCTTTGGTTTACTGAATTACAGCCTATTGTATGTATAAAAATTGGATTTTATAATCTAAGAAATATAGGCTTCCAATTCATCATTCTTTTATGAATTTTAAGTACTTAAGTATGCATGTGACTTCTAAGGATTTGCTCTCATGTTCCAAACATAATGGTATATAATAAACATACCAACGGGGTTCTTTGAGAACTGAGACTTCTATTTAGAACCACCAAATGGTCTATTTTGGCTAAATTCTCTTTTGGAGCAACCTTTCCAAAGTAAAATATTTAGAAAGAATTAAATTTCTATAATTTTACAATGGCCAGTTAACAATATTTAAAGTAATTGGATAACTTTCCTCTTTAATATTAATTTTCTTCTTTATAAAAGATTCAGAAATCTAAACTTTACACAAGAAAAACTTGCCAGTGTTCACAGTGGAAACATGCTGCAGCTATTTGGAATAGTAGCATAACTTGTGCAATATTAGGGGATGGATCCTTTGCAATATTTGTTATGTGGTTTTCTTTGGTTATAACTGAGATGATATGAAAAAAAATGTTAGTGACTTTCCTTCTTTTAAACAGGATTTCATTTCAGGTGGATCAAGGAGTGAACGTTGTGATATTATTTCCAATTTAATAAGCAAAGGCTGCTCAACTGATTTAATAGAATATCCATCTGTGCGTGTAATACCAAGTGAAAATGAAATTAATACCCAGGTGACACCAGCAGAAGTATTGATACAGCTGCGCCCAGGTTCGGTGATTTTCAAATAAATCTATGATGCTTCTTAATTTGAAATTGCATTTATTTTCCTTTGTTCACATTTACTACTCTGACAAAAATAAAAAATAAAAATAAAAAGTATTATGGAGTAGAAATACAGTTGGCAAAAAATCAAAAAAATTAGAATTCTAGTCTTTATCATGCCAGAATTCATGTCTTTATCTAGCTAGCTGTGTGGCCTCTACCTCTGTCTGCTAACCTGACCACACTATATTAGAATTATGTATTTCCAAACTTGATCACATTTAGTATAATTGTGTTGCTACCCCACTGCCAATTCTGAAGAAAGAAAACACATTTTATTCCACTCTGTTTCTCCAATATCTAGTACAGTACTGGCACATAAATATTTGTTGAATTTATCATTTGATTAGTGAGTTTAGAGGAGATATGAATTTAGTTTAGAACCTTTGTTATAAACTTTTAAACAGAAAAATATAATTTATAATTATCATAACTAACATGGGTACTTGGTGGTTATCTCTGAGGTGAACAAGTACTTTTCTTGCTATACTTTTATTGGACTTGTTCTTCCATCGTATGTATTCCACAATTTGGCACAGGTTGTAAGCCATGGAAAAGTTTTCATTTTCTTCCAGTGCTAGAGGATCCCAGGGCAGAAACTACATTTGGTAGTATAATTTCCGGCCCACAGCTGTACATCACTCAAATAGACACATTTAGTTTTAAGTCTTCTAAATTGCATTCAGGGTGGTCTTGTCCTGTCATTAATTTTTTAAATAACCATATTGCCACATTCCCTCCATATTCCAAAGTTGAGTTATTGCTTCTAAACTCTTTGATTACCAGAAAAACAAAGCCCATTTCATTCCTGGTCCTACGAATACTACAAGCTTCCAGTTAGACTTTACTCTTCACCATATGAAACAATTATACAACTAGTTCAGACATACATAAGCAACAGTTGGCAAGGTATATGCAAAAATAAAATTGTTAGTAAGATTATGGAAATTGCGAAGTTTAAGTTAAATCAGAGGTGATTTTGATTTTCTTCCCTAGAAGATATTCACAACAGATATGGAAAGCAGTTATTTTATATGGCATAGAAATATTGCCAAACAGTAATGGGAATTGAGTATCAATTTAAAAAACAAGTCAGGGCCTGCTTGTTTAAAAACACAGCACTATCTGGCCCTCCCTGGTGGCGCAGCGAGTTAAAGCACAGCACTGAGAATCTAAAGCCGCTTCCACATGAGTTCGATTCCCGCCTGCCCCGGAGGTGACGACATGGTGTGGCAGACCTCTCCTGACCGGCCCGCTGCTCCCCTCAGCAGTGTACTTCGTCGATCTGCCTGTTCTGCTCCCCACTCGGTCTCTGGTGAAGCCTCTCCCCGCCTCTGAGCCTCTGGCCTATACCCCAGTTCTGTATGCACAAATAAATAAATCTTTAAAAACAAAAAACAAAAAAACAAAAAAAAAACACAGCACTATCAAACTGTCGCCAGTCGGACAACATGAGTTCAATCCCTGGCAGGCCAGCGAGCTGACCCACATGGCACAGCAGACCTCCTCTGTAACCACCTGCTGCTCCCCTCTGCATTGTATTTCAGTACATCTGCCTGTTCTTTGCCCCACTCTGTCTTTGGTCAGTCTTCTCCCCTACACCTCTTCTGGAAAAATATTAACAGAGATAGACTATTGAAATTAGTTTACAATACCTAAAACACTAAAATGAAATCTTTAAGAAGATAAATAAGAGAAGGAAATTCACAAATTATGTTTCAGAAATAAAAAATTGAATATAGGGATTAATGTAATCTTTCTCTAATTTAACAATTCAAAAAAAGTTTATTAAACTTGATTCATTTTAATACTGTAATAAAAAAGGTCTTCTATTAAGTATTATTTAAAATGCAGTATTTGTCAGGTATTCTTCCTAAATTCAGAATTTTATTCAAAAAACATAAAAGGAGAAATAGTATATTTTCTCCCCTTTCATTCCTGACACAAAGATCCCTTTTTATTTCACAGAGAAATTTAGAAATGTGCTGGGTCTTATTTCAAACCAGTCTCACGCCAAAGCCACCTCTTTTCTCAGCTCCAGTATAATGGTAGAAATTGGCTGCCTTATCTTCTCCTACAGTTTTCTAAATTTTAGGACTATTTTTCAACGTCATCTTTAAACGAATGTTTTTAGTTACCTATTTAATGTCCAGTCATATTTGTTGCATCAGTACTACCTTCAGAAATGTTTGACCATTATCTAAGTTACATAAACTCATCCCGACAGCTTTTACTTCTTTCAGCTATTCAACCATACTGGCAATTGTCCTAAGTAGGGCTCAGCTTTCTACTAAAACCTCTTTTTTCATTCAGTGTCACTAACTCTCTTCTTCCTTTTAAAGTAAATTGAAGAAAATAAGAATCTGAGAATTTGTAATCTCAAAGCGTGAGGTTGAAGCTTTTCTCATAATAATATAAGTTATGGCATAAATTTTGAGGACTACATGATAATTCTTTCCTCTTACAGACAGAAATTAATCTCTTCCAGAATTATGGAAAAGAATCCATAGGTATTAGCTTCTTATTGTGATAAATGTGTGGGCCTTTGAAATGTTGCATCAAAATGTGCTTCAGATACAGTTTAGTTAAAAATGTGAGTGGGTCTGCATGTACCAAACCCAGAGGCTTCAGTGGTGACTAAGTTTTTACCTTAATATTGCTTAAAATTTAGTAATAGTAATGATTACCTGTGTGTGTGTACATGTGTGTGCATGCCAGATACTACCGTAAAATCTAACATTTATCTTTTCTCACATAGCAGATCTTAGTCACACATGTGTGAAAATATCCACACATCCCCACTTAACTCTCAGCTTAATACATTGCTGCCTGCATCACAGTGATGACGGTCACAGATGTTAAGTCTTATTTTTATTTTTTTAAGATTTTATTTATTTATACATACAAGAACGGGGTACAGGCCAGAGATGGGAGGTCAAGAGGACTCACCAGAGACAAAGTGGGGAATAGAACAGGCCGATCCACTAACAGACACTGCTGGTGGGAACAACAGGTGGGAGAGGAGAGGTCTGCCGTGCTGCAGTGGCTGTGGATAGCTTTATAGCACTGCGCTTTAACCCGGTGCACCACCAGGGAGAGCCTGTTAAGTCTTAACTGTAGATGTGTTTCTCCTCATCCAATATATTCAAAACCTCTTCGTTATCATCTTTGAGCCCTAAGTGGTTGCATCCCACTATGAATTAAGTGGGGGTTTATCTAGAGACAACATATCTATAAAAAGGTAATTCTGCTTTTGCTAAGAGAATTTTTCTCCCTCATATATAACTATTCAACCCAAAGCCAATTTTAGAGTATATTGTGTGGAGTGTCTCAAATGTAGGGTGTCAAAACACTGTAATCCACACTTGGCACATTGTTCCTTACCAAGCAGAGTGAGGCCTGGGTTCAGCCTATTTTGAACTGAGTAAATTTCCTGTATTTGAATTGTAACATTTCATCACATGCATGAGACAATCAATATGTGATACTGACTCTGTAGGGTAGTGATCCCGTGTACAAGAATGCACATCCTTAGCAGATGATAATGGACAGAGAAGTAAATAAAACTGTCCCAGTTGTCCTGGGGAGACTCCCTCTTATCACCTTATGGTGACCTTCTCTTCTTATCCAGTTCTTTTGCTTCTATGACCCCTCTTGAACAGGTTCTAACTGAGCATCCACAGTGCTCTGGACAAATGCTGTCCCCTACCAAGCCTGGTCTTCAGTGTTACATGCCTGGGGGCCATTCCTTACACCATTGTCTCATTCCTTCTCCAGACAAACAGGTTGAATTTTATCAACTAATTCATTAGGAGGTACTAATCATTTTAAATAGCTTAATATACTAATAAGCACCAAAATTTTCACATCTCATAAGTAAATGTGCCTTAACACAAAAGAATACATTTATACCTTTATGCAATAGATAAGCTAGTAAGATGACTTTAGGTTTTCTTCAAATTAGAAAGCCACAGTTAGCCACTCCTTTGAGATAAACACTGCTTACTTTTTTTATGTTGTATTTTCTAGATTCTAAGAAAAAAGTTCATGTTGTAAGGGGGCAAATAAATCATCCAATACCCTTCTGAGAGCTTCAAAATCTGGACACGTAATTGAAATAGCATTAAATAGGTCAGCAAAGAAAGACAGTAAGTTTAATGACTTATGTATGGAGAAATCACATGATTGCAAATTCTAAAGGATAATGGAACAGAGTAGGAATATTTAGCCTGCATTTTAGGACCTGGGGCATTACTGACATAAACAGGGAGACTTCATGTGACAGAAAAGCAGATAACCTTATCCTTACTCTGAAAGTAAAGATGAGATTCTTAGATCATGTTAACTGGTAAACCTAGAAATAGGTGAGAACTCCAAGCTATATTCTTCTGAGTCATAAAAGGGAAAACAGTGATTATTTCTTTAGTTAGGAAAAGGACAAAAACCTAAGGCATATTAATCTCTGATTAAAAAGGGGTTAAGAATTTAGGCAAAAATAGGAGCTACACCTACCTTCAGGGTCCTCAATGCTCTCCACTCAAAACAATATTCACTCTTTAAGCAGCCTTCTGAGGCTCAGAGAGCCATGATTAAGCTCTAATTGTCATAATCAATTGCCATATACTCCGAGTCTATTGAGAAAAATCTATCTGATTCTTTTAAGGAGACAGACCCCACAATTTGGTGATAAATACATACCCCGTTATATTTACAATGAGCTAGTCCATTGGTTATTATCTCTATCTGCCTCAGAGAATTGTGGGAATTGCATTGTGAAAGTTGGAGACTAACACATTGCTATGGTTTTTAAATTACATTATAATCATTCCATAATATTTCCGACTTTATTCATTACACACAAACTTGTGATAACTATTTTATATCTAAAATGTGAATGATTTATTGACAGCTTATCCTGCAATGTTTAAATTAAATACGACATGTTTGTCTCTCTTTGAACTAGGAGCTGAAACTAATTTCATGCTAAAAATTCATCCTCTGAAGAAATATCCTGTGGATCTTTATTATCTGGTTGATGTCTCGGCATCAATGCACAATAATATTGAAAAATTAAATTCTGTTGGAAATGATTTATCTAGAAAAATGGCATTTTTCTCCCATGACTTCCGCCTTGGATTTGGCTCATATGTTGATAAAACAGTCTCACCATATATTAGCATCCACCCAGAAAGGATTCATAATCAATGCAGGTATCTAGTGTTTGATGTGGATTTCACAGCTCCAAATGATAGTTTTTTATTAAAAACTCTCATTGTCTTTATATATGACTTACTACAATTTTTATTTTGTCTTCTTAAATGAAAAATAAAAATGTTTGGAAAGGAAGTATTTTAAAACTTCTGAAATTATCTGTAGCTTAGACTTTTTTAATTTGGTATTTATTCAAACACAGTTCACTTAGTTCTTATCACAAAACCACAAATAATAATATTAATTTCTGATAAATCTCCAATAATTTCTGCTAAATCTCCAAATAGATAAATACTTTTTTGAAATTCTTTTATTTCTCCTTTCTGAGTGCTCCAAATTTTTGGAATTAGGTTGTTCAAATCTTAAAGTACTTATGCAAATACTGCAGCTACTGCTGTATTTTTCTTTTACAATAATGTTGCATCCTGGGGTGACTTAAAAGAAAGCTCTGCTAGAAGTTCAAAAGATGAGAATCTGCTTGCTAGGAAGAGCCCTTTTTCTTTGCATTTTGGAAGTTTGTTTTTAAACAGCACTTGCCACATTGAAAGAACTGACCTTACAAATTTCTCATGCAATATTCAATTAGCTTGTTGAATCTTCAGGAACAAATAAATGTGTTCAGTTTTCCTTCATAAAACATTTTATTTTAACATCTTTCTACTTCCATAAATTGCCTAGATCACTTTTCAATACATACTCTAATTTATCAAAATAGCTTAGCTATATTTTGTAATGGAACAGGATCCATACAACTCCTGATACTTTTGCATTCTGGGACATCATAGAATTTTCTACACAATTTTAATGAATTTTGATTGCACATTAATAATTCCACACCAAGAGTCACTTAAAACAACTGTACATTAAAATTTTCTGACCATTATATTTCAACCAAGTTCCCAACATTTCCCAAAACATGTTTTTCAGTTTTCCTATGCTCAACTGTGACTGGAAATCACTGCAAATTCTGACCTCCAATTAGTAACTCTCAGTGTATACAGCATAATAGAGCCCTAGCTTCCAACATTAGACACATGTTTAGTCGTATTTACTTTTCCAATTCCAACCCATCATATTCCGTTTCCAAAGAACTATTCAACAGAGGTAAACTTTTCTGATTTCATAAATCAGAAAACTTATACCTTACTTTTCCTCTAATAAAATTTCCTTGGTAAAACAAATTGTTCTCTTCCCACATCAAACACACGATTTTATCATGACTAGTATTTTAAAGTTTTGAAGGAAATAGGACACAACACAAGTATTTTTTCTCTATTTAGTGACTACAATTTAGACTGCATGCCTCCCCATGGATACATCCATGTGCTCTCTTTGACGGAGAACATAACTGAATTTGAAAAAGCTGTTCACAGACAGAAGATTTCTGGAAATATAGATACACCTGAAGGAGGTTTTGATGCTATGCTTCAGGCAGCTGTATGTGAGGTAAGAAATTTCACCTTATTGTATGCTTGTTCAAATACAAAATTTCCCAAGAATTAAAATTTTATTTCTCTTTGATTATGAAGGGAAAATGGCATAAAAGAATACAATTTTTCTTTCTATTTCTCATTCATCACTCATTCATTTTGAGGTGAGTGAGGACAAAGGGGCTAAATTAGAAGAGGTTATAAATAGGAAAACATAAGAGAAAGAATAACTTATGTACTTGTAAAGTCCTTCCCAAAGGGGCTACTTTTTTTTTCCTTTTAACTGCATGACTTTTCTTTGAAGTAGCATTGTTTTACAATACTGTATATGACTTAGGGGTACAGGTTCATACTTCTTCCTATGTATACCACCACATCGCTAGCAAAGCACCCACAATCCTCCACCATGTTATTTTCACTCACCATTCTCCAAAGGAGAGCCAACAACAGCTTGTTTTCTTATGTTGTAGTGGATACTGTGCACTTTGTGAACCTGGTCTGTCTTTCCACTGGAAATCTCAAGCCGCAGACAGTATGATCAAATGGCTGTAGTAAAGTAAAAGATACATAAATGAAAGTTAATATCGTTCATATAATAGCACTGTATTTATAAACATCATTCTAGGCTGCCTTGAATTTTGACTCAAACTTAACATTTACTTGAGATAAAGATCAGAGCTCACGTCTATGTGATTGTATAAGGTCTAATTATATGTTTATTTGCAGAGTCATATTGGATGGCGGAAAGAAGCTAAAAGACTGCTGCTTGTAATGACAGATCAGACATCTCATCTTGCTCTTGATAGCAAATTGGCAGGCATCGTTGTACCAAATGATGGAAACTGCCATCTGAAAAACAATGTCTATGTCAGATCAACAAGCATGGTAACGTAACAATTGCCTTAAAGTAGTAAGGTTTCTCTTGGTTTAAGTTTAAATTTGTGTTTCATCTATTGTTATACCAAGAAGTTACCTAATATAACTTATAGAAAGCCAATTTAAGCCATGAAAGAACATTTATGGAGTAATGCAATCTATAAATTCTGATTCATAAAATATAAGGCTGAAGTACTTTGACAACCAATATTTAATAGCTGATTTTCTGATGTGCTACAAAAGCACTGTTTTATTTATGATAAAAGTTTACTATTTTATGCAACTATGAAAAACCTTAAAATGAAAAAAAATGCTGTTGCTATGTACAAATAAATTTGTCTTACAATGTTAGCAAGAAAAATGTGTTGACCTTGAGAAATTGTCACAGATTTAGGTAGAATCTAATAAAAACTAAGAATCTAATAGAAACTAGGAGAGGGGAAGAAGTAAAACAAATCTTTCTTTCAGCAAATTTTACACCTCACTCCTTTCCTCTGATGCTTGTCTATATGCAGAACTGTTTTTAAAATCAGTGAATATCTAGATTCCTTCATGAGGATTAACTTAAGCTATGAATCATGTTTAAGTACCTAGGACCACATATTCTCCAATATTAATTATGTCTAGATGTAGAATATCAACTGTGCAAAACATTATTTATTTATGATATTGATACCTATTTTTATAGTATAAAAGAATCTTCCAAACTTTCTCAGATCTTGCCAACCTAGTGTCACAGTCCCTTGTACCACAAGACAAAAATAAAACAAAACACATACACACAAATCCATGACAGTTCTGCTTACTTAGTAGTTAGGTCCAAATAACCATTAGCCAGCTTAAAAAAAAGAAAAATAGTATACACGTGTATGCTCACATAACACACACACACAAACACACACACAGACACACACAATTTGTGTCATTCTTAATAATGGGAACTTCCCAAGCCTTGAAATCAAATTAGGATATCATCTCCCTCACATCCTGTTCTACAAAGATTTTCATGTGGCTAATCTTTGCAAAAAGATATGTCATTTAAAGGAAGATAGCGAAAGATAATCTTGAGCTGTAGACTACTGCTATCCAACAAAACCTGGGTACCTGACAGATGCCAAGTATGGCTGTGTTTCCTTTGAAAATTTCAAATATTTAAAAATATAACTACCCGAGGATGTTCTGTGGTGTTACAAGTCACCTTGCAGTTTGGGAATGCACTATTAGAAACATATAAATTACAGTGAAATTTGTGTTGGTCCCATGAGTAAAATTTAAATAGTTTAAATTTAGTTACTTTGAAATATCCTGCCAAATTTATTTAAAGTATTAATAACAACTTATTATTGCATAAAACATGTTCAATCTTTAGTTGGTTTAGTCTCTTGAAAGTAGTGTCAAAATGTAAGGATGATAAAAGGTAACTAGAGTTTGAATTTAAAAACTTAGGCTTTAGGCCCTCCCTGGCGGCGCAGCGGGTTAAAAGCACAGCACTAAGAAGCTTAAGCCACTTCCGCATGAGTTCGATTCCCGCCTGCCTCGGAGGATATCCACATGGCGTGGCAGACCTCTCCTGACCCGCCAGCTGCTCCCCTCAGCAGTGTACTTCGTCGATCTGCCTGCTCTGCTCCCTGCTCTGTCTCTGGTGAATCCTCTCACCCTCTGCATCTCTGGCCTGTACCCCAGCTCTGTATGAATAAATAAAATCTTTAAAAAAAAAATTAGGCTTTGGAGTAATGCTAATAGCATCTTTCCCTTCCTGATTCTATTCTACATAGCCACATTTTGCTTTGGTAGGCCCACCCACTTAAACATAGTCATTTCTTATTTTTTCCTGCTTTATTCAACTTCTCTTTGTCATAGGTAGAACTCTAATTTATTTGTTAGGGTATAGAAAGGAGAGAAGTGTAACTATTGTGAGGCAAGGAGGGTTTTTTTGTTTTTAGCGAAAATAATCAGTTATTCTCAAACTGTATTACATTATTCTTTTAAGTTCTGCCAAGTCACTGAAGTTATTGCTCCAAAATTGTGGTTGGGGACAATGCTGCTATTCATCCAGAAAGGATTTCATAGGCAGTGAAATTCCTTATTTTAGACATATGCGATCCCATATAACCTTACACAAAGAAAGTATAATTTGGTGGAATTTTACACAGCATTTGGGTTTTATGACATCAAGGATCACTCTTAGGAGATTTTCAAAATAATTTTTTTCTCATTTATCCCAGGTTTGTATTTTAAAAAATCATTTTCTAAGAATTTTTGTTCCGCTACATTTCTTGGGACACTTGAAGGTTTTCTGTTGATCCTTGGTCATAAATTTATATTTACAAGGTATACTACTCCTATTACATGTAAGGCTACCCTAAACTTGACTCTGAGTATATTTCACTGCTTATTTGAAAGTGACCTTCATCTTCTCTTATTTAGCCAGTATAGAGGAACTTACAAAGGTATAATTTAGACAAATAAGCAAATACTTTGCTTCTTAGTTTCATCTACAGTAGTCAGTATCAGTAATGTTGAATGGTTTCTGAGCTTCTTGGTCAAAGACTGGAAAAAAGGAATAATTGTGGCAGCCCTACAGAAGCTTGGTATTCTATACAGGGTTGCTATAGTGGTTTCAGGTAATAAATACTCACAAAATGATAGTTATTATGCTGGAGTTCATATTGTTCCTCCTGAAACAGTATGTGTACAAGAAAACACAGGCCCATGAAATCTGGACATTTGATTTTTATCATTTATTTTCCTCTTTTAAGTAAAAGAAACAAAGAGAAAAACTGGGAACAGAAAATGCTAAGTTAACTAAGAACAGACAGAAAGTTAAATGGCAAAGTTGAGGCTCAATTGAGTTCAACTTACATTAAAATATGAGTTTTTAACCACTTTGTCCATGTCTCGATGAAAAGTAGAACAGAACAAAGCAGTTTTTGGCATATTTTTTTCAATCTTACTTATGGAAAAAATAAAACAGATGATTTAGCTTAATAAACTATAAAACAAATTATCATTTAATATAGTTTATATTTATACAGTATTGCATATTTTATATAGCTATTGGCAAATGATGTATTATATTGAATAAATTACATTTTCCATTGCTTTATCTCCAAGAATTATGATGAAAAACTTGAGGTATGAACAGTAATATGTTGTAATATGCAGTTATAATAGTTCAAAATGTTGCATTATTTTTTAAATGGCAGATGTGAATATAAAAATTGTTAATGATATAGAGAAGAGATCATTAATATACTAAGGATCTGAAATTTCACCATGTCTCCCCACCCAATTACTATAGCATAACTATCAGCTTTGCTCAGAGCTTGCCTCACATAATTCACCCCATCCTTGGTGAATACCAAAAATAACATGACAGTGTCCAATAAAAATGAAAGAGAGCTAAAAAAGCAAGTATTTGGAAGAAGTACACAGTTCTTTCAGTTAATTCATATTAAGTATCAATAATTCTCAGTCATAGACTAACAAGATGCAAATCAGCAAGATGCTGCCATAGTGTTTGGTAGTATAGGTTTGGGTATTTCTCTACTCAGCTGTGCTTGTATGTGTGAGTGGGTTGTTTCATTATATTATCAGTGCTGCATCACTTCTATCATGTAACTCCTCAGAATTTAGTTAGGGTCATCTTCATAGTTCCTTTCCGCTTTCCTACAGTCTTTTGGATAGACAAACTGCCAAGCTATTCACGATCTTAGAGGACTGAGGCTGAATTGCAGGAAACAGACTAGCCATTACTAGGGTTTGCTTCCTCGTGGAAAAAAAAAATATGTTCTGCCACTGCCTTCCTATGCAACTTTTTTTAACATGTTCTTGACTTACTCAAAAACATTCTTTTTGCAGAACATTCTTTTTTGCCATGTATCTCAATATCTTAGATTATATTCACTTTTTTTAGAACTGTACATGAAGAAAGGAAGTCAGAGAAGAAAGCTTTACAAATTCAACCCATAACTTTGCTACTCCAGTTAACAATTATTCCTATAAAGTTATTACACTTATAAATGATTTTATTTTTGTTTTGTTCTTCCTGAGAGGGCTACTTCTGATATTTTCAAATTTGGGGAAAATCATTTACAAATAATGTTGATATGAAACAGGATCCCATTTAAGGATACAATTTTACTCATTCAGAGGCATTATTTTTACTGCTCTGTAACTAAAAGAAATAGTCTTCAGCTTCAGAAAGTGTTCATTTTCTCTCTGATTCTCTGTTTTTTGTTCAAGAAACAAACAAATATAAATGCTAATTTATCGATCACTTACATTGTGCTAGGCACTGTATTGAGTATTATAGCTTATATTTCCTCATTCAGTCTTCACCACAACCCATGTTACATATGAGGTAGCTGAAACTTACAGACATCAGATTAATTTATACAAGGTCACAGAGTGACTATAAATATCAGTTCAAGGTCCACACCTAACAACTTAATAACAATGTTCTTCAACCTGATCCTTTGTTGTGTTGACTCTATTTATTACCACTGATGTTGAAAAAAGGGATCAGCCAGACCCTTCACTTAACTCATTAATCTCCATCAAACCCATCCACTAAGGATAAAGTGAGAGAGAGGGTAAATATCTTGCCCAGGGAACTTGACTCTTAGATATCTAGTTTGTCCCCTATGCCACAATCTTTATACTGTCTCAGTATTTACTGCCTTTCAGGAAACTAGGGAATGCAAGTGCTTCTGATGACACAGAAATGAAGCTATAGTAAGAGTCATTTTTTGTATGTTCAAGAATATTTAATTCAAAAGTTTACCCAAAATAGTTATTCTAAATGTTAAACACTTTAAAAAAGATATAATGGGCCTTTCCTGGTAGCACAATGGGTTAAAGCACAGCACTGCAAGGCTGGTGGCTGCAAAGTAGTCGCTTAGGTGCAAGTTGGAACCCCACCCAGAGCTGATCCACATGGCGAGGCAGACCCCTTCTGTCTCGCCCACTGCTCCCCTCAGCAGTGTACTTATAAATCTGTGTGTTCT